CTCTCTCTCTCTCTCTCTCTCTCTCTCTCTCTCTCTCTCTCTCTCTCTCTCTCTCTCTCTCTCTCTCTCTCTCTCTCTCTCTCTCTGTGGATGACCTTTACTTTGGTTTGTTACCTTGTTTCAGTGTAATTTTCTAACTATGAATTGCTCAGGGGAAATTTAACTCAATCTTATGTTAGAAATATTGGATTTCAATTTACAATGGTATCAGAAGAATTGGTAGTTAATCTAATATGTGAGTGGGAAAGGACTATGATTTGCTAAGTGATGAATAAGAGAGAGCTTGGTCCTTTCTTGGATCTTTTTTGTGGTTTCTGCATGTTGAAGGGGTACTAGAAAGAATGTGTTTTCGGCGATGTTTTAAAAAATAGATAGGTGGGGCGGATCGTCCACTCCCAATCTCATTTGGATCATTTTCAGTTCATCTGGATTGGTGATCTAAAAAAAATTTAAAAATAAATAAAATTAAATTAAAGTTAAAATTGAATAGAGTTTGTGGGGGTAGAGATTAGGAGCAACCAAGTAAAACATTAGATAAGTTTTAAAAAAGAAAACGAAAAAAATGAAAAGAGGGATTTTAGGGGGGAATCAGGTTGGGACCCATACTACCCCAAAATTGATTGTGTCTCGAGCAATTTTGCATTCAAATCGACAACTCCCATCGAAAAATAGACGGGTTTTAAAACAGTAGGAAATTCTGCAAAGAATAACATTTCTCAACGGCTTGTTGCTAGCATTTCTCAACAGGCTGCAAAGAATAAGGGTTTGGGACCTACATGACACATACATGATACAAAAAGTGCTGCATATATGGTGGTTCTGTGGGACTAAGTTGTACACGTGGTCCCACCGGTTAAAGCACCTATAAATTTTATTCGCAAACCTTGCTCTAACACCATTTGTTGAGTTACAAAGCCGAAATTAACGCACACAAGAAGCACCCACACACTATCGGAAACACATAAGCACAATTACGCACACAACAAAAACACTAATTGATGAGACAGACCTATTCTCATACCAATCTCAATATTTTAGGTAGTCCCTCAATACTACTACATTTAAGTCCTGCGTGAGTTTAATCCCAACATAACAATTAACTCTACATCTAATCCTTAGGACTCTTAACACATATGTGATTAACCTAAACCACGTTAACCTACTCCCATCCTATTAGGACTTGCAATCCTCTTCTTCAATTAGTCAATAATCAGGTTCTGACCTCTAGCATTTAGCCACAATATCATTTTCGTTCAAAAGGGGACTGTTAGAGCATTGGGTCCATATATATGAAGCCTTTAGCAGACATTTTACCAAGACTCATGATTAATAAATTGTGGTTATCTACTCCATAGTTAGCTTAGCTCTAACGCTTCTTTCCTTAGATCATTGGATCCATTTGCCACTCTCTACCACCACTTAATCAACAATGCCATATTAGCCAATTTGATAGTTCCTCGTTGGATCCACTATATAGAAATTTTTAATCATCAATTCGATTGTGTTGCTCGCATTGATAGGAACTTTAAATAATAGTGATAAATAGTACATGTATAACTTGGAAAGAGTAGCTTTGATAAGGGATATTCGTCCCCTAGACGATAAAAACCTTGATTTTTCAAGTGTCTAATTTCCATTGTATCATCTTTAATTCTGGACTTCATAACACTTCAAGATTAGCCATAGAAGTTTAACTTCTAAGGACTCCACCCCACAAAAAATTATGGCATCATTTGTACATTGAAGATAAGAGACCATGAGTGGGACAAGTAGCATATCATGAAGCCCTTTCAAAGAACTTCTTCAATCACCACATTCAACATCACACTGAAAGATTCTGACACTAGGGTAAAAAGGAAGGGGAAATCCTTTTCCTTCATCCCCCTCCTCCCTATTTCCCGAGTCTATCCGCCGAAGAAAACCACCACTACCCACTCGATCACCCTTCCAAGCTCAACCCGAATCCTCGAAAAAGACTATAAAAGGTTTCACCTTCCCTGCCTCTAGCTCGAGTTCTTTTGAATCTCCTGTCTACCCTTTCCCTTATCTTGTTCTCCTTCCTCCCCCTCCTTCCCATTTCCCAGTTTTTTCAAGTCAAAAGTCTCTCTGTTACCTTGGTGGGACAACTTTTTCAACATCCCATAATGCAAGGCCTCTCTAAGGCAATTGAGGAGAAAAGCAAGGGGAGGTTTTCCAGCATAAGTTCCCTTATATGGTAGCTCTTGGGGCCTAGCAGTCGATGTTATATGTTTTGGCTGACAAACAAGACATATCAGTTTCCAAGTAACGCTGATCTTAGGCTAGAAGTCCTCTCTCTCTCTGTCTGTCTCTCTCTCTCTCTCAATGGGTTGCCTCTTTGCAGTATAATTCGCTATAGGAGTAATTTCATTGTTAAAAGAAAAAGAAGGTTCTGAGTTTTGAAAACTTAGATACGATGCTTACACAGATACCACTCCACTAACACTTTCAAAAAGCTACTAACACCTTCAAAAAACTAACTCCTAACCTATTTGAGAAAACGGGTAGGAGCCTGTCTTCCCCATGGAATTACCCAAAAAAAAAAAAACTCCATTAAATGGACAGTTCACTGTTATGGTGGAATTCATTTTCACCATTTTTATGGTGTGATACTAAAAGAAAATAGATTGATTGTTGAATAAGTGTTGGTTCAAACCAAGTTCTAGAAAAACAAATCGGTGACCCAAATCACCCATCCATAAAACTTGTCCAGTTTGGTGGATCAGTGGTCTAGTTCGGCTATCCGAATGATGGAACCGGCCAATAAAAAATTAGAGAAAAAAAACATTTATTTTTTTTGAGGACCTGACCAAAATGAGAAAATCACCACTACCTCTCATAGAGTGGCATGGCTATTAAATGAATGAATGAGAAAATGAATGTAACTCAGCAAGAACAATGGTTATAATTTCTACATCTTGAAACCTAGGCAAGCTTCTTAGCTTGCCTGTGAGTACTAGGTGGTTCATCCTTTCTTGAACTAGAAGCTTCAGGCTCTCTCACCCATGCAGGAGCACAGTCCGGCTCATAACGGTAATAAAAAATTAGAGAATAAAAACAATTTCTTTTTGAGGACCTGACCAAAATGAGAAAATCACCACTACCTCTCGTAGAGTGGCATGGCTATTAAATGAATAAATGAGAAAATGAATGTAACTCATCAAGAACAATGGTTATAATTTCTACATCTTGAAACCTAGGCAAGCTTCTTAGCTCGCCTGTGAGTACTAGGCGGTTCATCCTTTCTTGAACTAGAAGCTTCAGGCCCTCTCGCCCATGCAGGAGCACAGTCCGGCTCATAACGGTAATCATAGAAAAGCTCCTCACCAGCACATATCCGTTCCTTGGCAAATATACCTACTCTGTGATCACCAGCTACCATGATAACCTTGGCATAGCAATTTGGATCTGGGGAGTGGTTTGCAAATTTTAATTTGTCACCTTTCCTGTAAGCATCAAGGACAAACTGATCATTCAAGTTGAAAAGGAAGGATGAGTTCTCACGGTCATAGATCTTTCCACGCTTATCAGCTTCACGGTGTGAAATCAACTCTCCAGTGTACTCTCCGATATATTCGTGCTTGTTCACACTATTCTTCAGGAAAGCACCCCAGCCAGAAACATCTGATCTTCCAAGTAACACCCTCTGTTGCTGTTTGAGGAGGAGCTTCATATTTCTACACTCGTAGTTATCACCTCGTTGACTGGGGCCGCCCATTGTCCCATCCCCACAGCCAGCCCAGCAATTTCTACAAACATCAGGATCACATTCTCTGTCAGCAGCAAAGCAAGGGCATTGCCGACTTCGGCATTGACTCTTAGAACAATGGCATCCCCTAAAACGATTCTTGCAAGTTTTAGGACACCCACAATACTTTTCGCAGCATGTTCCATGTTGTAGGCAGCTGCACTGTTTTCCACAAGAAGATTGACAACTACAAGGGGTGAATTGGCGACATGGCTGGTCCTTCCGATCAGTGATTCTTTTCCTAATTGCTGAATGACCCGCAGATTTCCAAGTATACTTCAACCGACGTGCCCTACCCCTTCTCCGCAAAAATCTTGATCGTCTCCGTAGTTTGGTCCCCAGGATATCATCACAATCAGCCATTCCGCATGCATCATTGTGACAATTTGCACCCTCTCCTGCTCCGAGGTAGGGTTTCATTTCGTTAAAATTCATGTATTGGGCAATTTCAGCACATGTCTTCATGCCATTGAGCACATTTCTAGCAATGAGACAGCTATTCCGACCAAAGATCTCAACACCTGTGGCAAACAAAGACTTCTCAATGGTCTTCCAAGCATTGTCCTTGCTTACTTCACATTGAAGGACATTTGCATTAGCACAACTGTCATCTCTGGACATCTCTAGTCCGCAATGCATATTTGATTTCTTATCCATTGAGTCCTTTACTTCATCATCAACATTCTCGTCCACCAAATTGTCATCACCAAGGACTGGGGAAGATTGCTTTCGAGATTTTCTGGATTTTCCAGACTTCGAAAATAATCTTTGAGTGGACGATGTTGCGTCTGAAATTTCCGTCCGAGCGTTAGATCGGAGTTTCATATCCCTCGGCCAAAGAGAGCCACTTACACCAGTGTTTGAGTCCGACACCACCATTTTCTTTTGTTTCTTACGGATGCTAACGAGAACTCGCTCAGCAGCCCTCCCTCCATATTTTCCAACCTGGTTAGCTTTTAGAGGAGATGCAGAAGAGCATGCTTCCGAGCCACTGCTTGCTAAGAAATGCTTTGCAGTGGAAGAAGCAATATCAGTCTGCCGTGACTTTAACCTCCTAGCAGTACTAGAACCACCAGATTTTTTTGGGAAGGACATCTGACCATCAGCATCAAAGAATGAAGGGACCACAGATGCACTGGCAGTACCATTAGTTCCAGGTTTTAATGCCAGGCGATAGCAATGTGTGCAACAAGGTTCATCATCATTGGTGTTGCTCCAAGGTGGATGCTTCTCAGCCGGAAGAACTAGGTCCTGAGAACATCCATGCAATCTGCAATCAAAAACCAGACAACGGCGACAAAATAGGTTATCAAAAGAGTCAAGAGCAGCATCCAGATCTTTTCCAGCAAGGGCGTGCTCACGTTTCGCATTGAGTTCCTCACTGGTGCATTGTTTACTTTTGTCTTGATTTAATAGTAATTCATATCTTGCCTTTATTTCACAAGCACTTGTCTGAAACTGCTGAGCAAGGATATCCAGCACAGTATCGGATAATCCAACTTCTTCAATGGTTTTTTGCAGAATATAATCTTCACAATCACCGAACTCTTTCTTGTCATCTTCATCATCTACAGGGTCTTCTTCACTGTCGCTACAAATAAGAGCCTCACCGCCACTTCGATCATAGTAAATCCGCCTCCGCCCCAAAACAGATTGGTCTTCAGTCATTCTTTGATTTCTGTCCAAAAACAGCCATGCTGTGTTAGGTGGAATTCTCTGTTCTTCAGGCAACTTAATCGGACGAACGACATTTTTTCCACTGGAATTGCTACCAAAAACAATAGCTGGAGAGGCATTTGGACACTCTTCAGTACAAAGACTCTGTTCCCTCTCCCCAGCAGATAAATCTAAGCCACTTATCATACACGTTGCATCTTCTAGTCTCTTGATCAAGAAATCCGTATTTGCCATAGGCAATTTTCTAGATTTTGACAAGTTGTGAATGTGATCAGTGAAACCTTTCAGCTTCTGCTTATTTTCGTCAATTTTTCGCTTTACCTGCATAATTCTATCAGCTGCAACTTTGTTTTCCAAGGACTCAATTACAATTAAAGTGTTACCAGCGATTTGACTGGCTTCCTCAGGGCCATAATTCATTTCAATGTCCTTGGCAACGCGGACTCGCGAGGAAGACCTGGATCCAGAATTGGAGCTGCTGATTTGGGACGTCATTTTGGAAAGAGAGGCGGAAAGCCAGCAAACCATGCACCATCAACCCGACATGGTGCCCCCTTTCTCTGCAAAACCCTAGAAACACAAAGGGGAGGAAGGAATGAACCACTGTAAAAATGTGGCGAAAGAAATGGTGGGAAACCTAAGGTTTTGAAATGAAATTTTCCGGGCCCCTCTCACCTTACAATCTTCTTCTTACAACGCCACCGTAAGTGGTGTGGTGGATGGGTGGGGCAAGGATTCGTTAGTCATCTGCTCTGAGCTCCCTGCTATTATAAAGTTTATATGGAGCCTGGCTCTAAACAATCAAATTAGAGCCCACCTCAAAAATTTCACTAGACGAAGTTGTTTTTTATACCTAAATATCCTCAAGATCAGATGCATGGACATGAAAAAAAAAAATAGATTTCAAGTTTTGGAAATAGTGCATCTTGTAACGTATTTTTTTTACTTATTTTCAAGTTTTCGTAGATCTGTTCGATCTGCATTATTTTTTCAGTTTTAAATTTTATAATTAAATATAAAATTATATTTTTAGGCTATCACAAAAAATTTCAATGTTGAAATTATATTTCTCGATGCTATTTGAATGTGCGTTTTGCTTTAATTGTTTGGAGCCTCGGCTCTATGCAAACTGCCCCCTTTCTTATTTATTCTAAAACAATGGACGTCAAAAAAGGAAAAAGTTTATATAAGGTTACAATCTTAAAGTAGAATATTTTTTAATTCTTACGCATTTTTTGACCGTTTAAAAAAACTACACATCGAGCAAATCTAAAAATAATGGAAACTAACGGTCAAAAAAACATTAGATTCTACACATCGACTTCGATATCTATGGAAACTAACGGTCAAAAAAGTATTTAGACGTTAGTTTCGATTATTTTTAGATGGAACACCTACTTGCATCTATCTTTACATTTTTCTAGATCTATACATCGAGCAGATCTATAACCGTTTGAAAATCTTGAAAGTAGACAGTTGAAATAACTTGTTACAAGATATATTATTTTTAAAGCTTGAAATTCTTTTTTTTTATATCCATAGATATCGAAATTGAGATGATCAATTGGAAGGTTTTACAATTTCGAAATACCTTTTCTACTATGCACCTTATTTCTACAATATAAGGTTGCAACCTTATACAAACTTTTCCATTGTAAAATGAGGTTTTGTATTGATGTGGCTTTACAAAATTTGGTAAACCCACCTTCAAATTCTTGTCAAAAAGATCGATGATCCTATCTCCACTTTCTACCCTTCATTGTGCATTTTGGAGTTCCAAAATTAGTGCAGCTGTGATGAATTTTTGTTTACTTGAAATGGATGGTCCATAAAAAATAAAAAAAAATACCCCAAGGTAAACAATTTTAGGTTTTGAGGCAATTTTTTCTCTTATATCCATGATTGTCGAAGTCGATATGATCAGTTTGTAAATTATTCAATATTGGAAGTGCATTCCCCGACCACATTTGACCTTTGATTATATAAAGTCATGGTACCCAAAATACTTTTCCCTTTCCGCATATTGAAATAATTGGAAATAAAATGTTGGACAAGCATCTCAAAGACATAAATTTAGTAGGAATAATTTGCAATCACGACAGCCCCATCGTATCTACACAGATTAGGTCCTCTCAACTTTACTAAGTTATTATAATTATGTAAAAGGAAGTGGCAGCTGAAAATCTCTCCAATTACAAATAAAAAGGAAAAAAAGGCCCGGGGATGAAGTGTAAGGTTTCACATTGTTTTTCCTTTTCTTTTTTTCTGACCTCCATAAAATGATTTAAGTAGAGGAGAACATAGCATTAATTATAAAACTACTGCCAAACTTCTTCTTAAAGTTAATGATTGTTTCTTAACTTTGAAATATCTATGATGATCTCATTTCCTCTTAAACATTTGACCTCGAAAATAAATCGGACTTCTTGTTAGGCAAAGCGAAATTCAAATCATATATTGCGACAACATTATATGCTCCAGCGGGACCATGTACTCCATTATTACCTCGGCTAAAAACATTGTCTTCATTCACCACCCCCTTGATTAAATAAATGACCCTGATTCTATGCGGCCAAGCCCGCATATGTAGTAATATGGGCCTAGTAATAAGCTTTTTTTTTAGATGGATTTTTTGACGTAATTTTTAAAGACATGTAATCTCTAATATGGGGATCATGAATATGGAAAAATAAGTAATTTTTAAAAATTATAAATAATAATTCTAATAAGAACACATTTGGACGTTAGTCTCTGTTGTTTTTAGATGGAACACCTACTTGCATCCATCCTTAAGATGGATGCTTTACAATTTTTTGACCATATGTGTAGTCATGCGGTCCAACCCGCATGAAACGATTTTCCGTAAATAAAACCCCATTTTTTGATGGATGAAGTTTCTATAGCGCATAGGCTTTATGAAAACACAATAAAGGTTCACCTCAAATCCTCATCTACAAAGTACTTTCGGAAATCTTCATGATGACTCTAGAATTAATTTTCAAGACCGACAATAAAATTATTATTTTTTTGACAGTGTTCCATAACTTTATTGATTAAAATAAAATTACAGTGCTATGAAAAAAATAAAATCAGAAAAGAACATCAGAAGTAACCAAATTCTGCAAACCTCCTCCTTTCTTGGCCATAACATCTGCAATATCATTCCCTTCTTTGTAAACATGTCAAAAAGACATATTCATACCACGACGCAATTCCATCCATTCTAATCTCAATTTCCAAGGTGGCCTCGAAACATAATTACACCAATTTACTATGTTCAAAGAATCACATTCCACCACGCATCCTACCTGAAGTCTCCTTTTTTTTTCCCACATTAGGTAGCCCATCAAATGACAAACTCTCTATAATATTAGCATGGCTCATGGGTAACGGGCAAGCTATATCCAACTTACTAAGATACCAACACCAAATACCATAAGTGGATGGGCAATGTAAAAATAAATGATCACTGCTTTCATCACACTCCTTACAAAGCATATATACATTACTAATGATCATTCATCTCTTCACAAGCTTATCCACCGTCAAACTATTCTCTTGAAACAACACCCAAAGAAACACCTTAACCTTTTGGGGTATCCTCCAATACCACATTCTCCTTGATGAAACTCGATTCCACCTAATATTGTCATGAAAATAAAGGTTATATGCTGATTTCACCTAATATTGTCATGAAAATGAAAGTTATATGTTGATTTCACTGAAAATAACCCAACGCTTTCGGCCTCCCATATCAATTCATTCTGAAATAACTTCACCTTATTCTCAAAAGTTTCGTCATCTGCATTATAAATTCGTCACTGACCCTATTATAAAAACAATTAATGTTTCATACCCCACTTTCTCTGCAATAGATATCACTAATTTTAGCCTTAGGGTTAGTAGAAACATCAAATATTAAAGGAAACAAATACCTTAACGGAGCATCTCCTATCTGTCTATAATGCCAAAGAGAAATAAGTGAACCATCCTCCACCTCGCATCTAGAACAACTGATGACAAACTTTATATTTTGCACTATCCCTCTCTACACCATCGACTGAGATCTAGAACTTGATTTACCCATCCACAAGCTATATCTATCCTCCCTATACTTATGCTTTGTGGTATCTTTTCAAATAACCTGCTCACTATCCATCAACCTCCACCACCACTTTGCTAATAAAGTATGTTTGGCATATTTTACTCTCCTAATGCCAAACCACCTTCAGAAACTGGTGTACACACTCTATCCCAGCACACAAAATGATGCTTCTTGCCAAACTCTCCATACCCCCATATAAAACTTCTCATAAGTCTCTCTATAATTTTAAAACCGAGGCAGGCATCATAAGAAGAGACATTTAACATACATGTAGATTAGAAAGAGAAGACTCGATTAGAGTTGTCCTTCACCCAAGTGACAGGATTTTAGAATTCCACAAGTCCAACTTAGAATGTATTATTTCAATCACCAGGTCCCATACCACCTTGGGTAGTATACAATCAGAAATAGGCAACTCCAGATATTTTATAGGAAATTCGTCCACCTTGCACCCTAAAATATCAGCGAGAGGGTTTAAAATGTCATTGCTATAAGGCACTCCAATAATGGAGGTCTTTGCAAAGTTTACCTTGAGATCCAACCCCACTACACAGCAAATAAGCATTCTTCTAATATTCAAAATTTGATCCACCAAAGCATAAAAAAAAAAGTAATGTATCATCAGCGCACTGAAGGTGAGAGATCGGTTGACTGTCAGTTGAAACCTTAAAACCCTTAAACCGGCCCATATTCACCACATTCCCAATGCAACGGCTAAAGACCTCTCCCATAAGTGTAAATAGAAATGGAGATAAAGGGTCACCTTGCCTCAATCCCCTCGTAGCTCTAAAAAACTATTTCGGTGATCTTTCAACTAAAATCGAAAAGTGGGTGCTTGCCAGACATCCCCTTATCCATTTACACCACCTATCACTAAATCCCATGCATCTCATAACTTCTAAAAGCATGTCCCAACCCACCCAATCATAGTCTATAGAAAGCTCATCCTTTAAATATTTAGAAGGTCAAAATCCAAATTCCTTGTCTAAAAATACGTATATGGTATTTGTGGGTCCTAAAAATTTTAAATATAAAACATATCTCAAGTAGATCTTCAAGTGTACAACATGCTCCTGTTGGAGCATTAACACACTTTTTATTTATGTAAGTACGAATGCTCCTGCATGAATTCGTAATTTTAGGGACTACAAATTGCCATATTTATTTTGCCGAATGTGTGAACAAATAAACTATCGAAATATTTCAGTCATCTGTCGTTCATCAGGCAACTTTAAAAATAGAGCCCAGGAATTTTCAATTTCAAAATCATGAATTTTGATGGACCTCAAGGTACAAGCTTTTCAGCTAAGCAAAGATTGATTCAAGTTATTGATGGGACCCCCACTTGAATTCTATTTCAAGTGTCCTCTTTTTTTGAGCCGTCCCACCAAGAGAGGCCAAGCTCCTATAGGAATGAAAGCTAAAAACAAGCCTGAGAAGCCCAATGTGAATGAGAGGCCAATGGCATTAGGTTAAGCACAATTCTCCCCACCCTTTTATTTTCTCTTTAAAATAAAACATACCCTCATAATTTAGGGTTACACGTTATTTTGTGCCCCATCCAAATTAGAACTTTTAAATTTTGACATCATTTGTGTGAGTTTGGGTTTTGGGGAAAAAAACTTTGCTTTTTTTTTTTTTTT